AGATAGATAGATAGATAGATAGATAGATAGATAGATAGATAGATAGATAGATAGATAGATAGATAGATAGATAGATAGATAGATAGATAGATAGATAGATAGATAGAGTTATTTCAGGACAAAGAGAAGATACACCCACACATCGTCTAAAGCTTCTCAAACGTGGGCTCACTTGCTGAGTTTCACACTGCAGGACTCTCATGCTCTGCAGTCAAACAGCCGCTTAAGAGAAGGCCTTGTTCCAGCTGGATTTCTTTTGTCATGCTAACTTGTAACCTTTTAAAGTGCATTGACGGCAGGTAGCATAGAGAAACAATGGGATACAGTAGCATCCTCCTCTAGAGTTACTCCACTCCCACAGTCCTCGTCTTCCACTCCGCCAATGAAGCTGTCCAACTATGACATCACGGCTAGCCATTTGTTTTCTCTACATTGCCATGGCGATGCGAGATGGCAGCGACCGCGGAGATGAAAGACAGCATTAGCACATCAGGACGGAGACGAGCACAAAGATCTGTCAGATTTTCTTTTCATTTCGGTCTTTGCTTTTCACATAAGCTCTACTGAAAAGATCAGAGAAACTATGAAAAGTCATGCTGACCTCCTCCTTCACTGTGAACTCCCACCGGGTCAAGACCAATAAGGTTCTCCACCAATTACTCTGGTCAGTTTCAATCTCATCTCTCTTCATCTCTACCAAAGACGACTTTTACACACAGCCTGCCACAACAACAGCCATCTACTTGTTAATCTGCGACATTCTGCCAGGGTCAGCGACATTTGTCACACAACGTTTAGATTTTTAAACTTTTGATTAATTTTTAGTTCTTCATCTGTAGGAACTCTTATATCCCAAGAGTTGATTTTAATTAAAAATCAGTTTTTCAGCATTTTCTGTGTGTTGTATGAACGTCACCATTGCAAAGTTTTCTGTGTGAAAACAGATACTGTATAAATGAGAAAAAAGGTAAATAACACTATCAACAAATATTTGCTTGAGTATGAATATATTTAATTCGGTTCATTTTAAAATGTCAAAAATGTTAAATTCCAATGGGCTAATTTTATGTTTGCAGTTTTATTTATATATTTATTTATTTATTTATTTATAAGTCACCATTGCGATATTTACTGGGTGAAAACATCTGTATAACTTTATATATACGGAAAAATTTAATTAAATTAAAATGAAATTAATTTAATTAAAATCATTAATGCATCTTAAGTAATCACAATGATCCAGCACTTTATAGTAAATTTCATAAGTGAAATTTAAGTCTAATTTCTGTACATGCTAAATACTTTGGGACATAAAAAGTACCACTTTGTCTTTACTATAAACACTTACGGTTTTAGAGACACTAAAAAAGATGAGCTAAGCATACAAATCCTGACAGTACATATAGTGATGAAATACTAGTCCAGTAAAAGTATAAATACTTTTAACACGAGTAAAAGTACTTTTGAATGAAGGGTGAAATCAGGGCACTTATTGCCATTGAGATGACTGGGAATAAAATGGCCCAATTATTCCAGATTAACCATACTTAAGTATCAAAAGTCCAAGTACTGATCTCTAAGAACGGCTTACTTGTTGTTGTTGCTGTTGTTATTGGATATAATTCATCTTTATATATTCCCAGTGGCACAGATAGGATGAAGCATAAATAGGTTATAGATCATATAATGAGTCATTAAGAGTCAGCACACTTGAGCTCTCAGGATCTTGGCTCATTCGGAGTCGGATAAAACCAGTTCAGTGTTTTGTTAATTTGAGATTTGCTCTTAATGTTTCCCTCAGTTAGTTGTGATCAGATGACTTAAAGGAATAGTTCACCCAGAAAGGAAAATGTGATGTTTATCCGCTTACCCCCAGTGCATCCAAGATGTAGGTGACTTTGTTTCTTCAGTAGAACACAACGAAGATTTTTACCACAAACCGTTGCAGTCTGTCCGTCTTATAATGGAGGTGAATGGGAATCACGGCTTTGAGAGTAAAACAAAACACACACAAACAAAACCAAATTAAACCCTGCGGCTCGTGACGATACATTGATGTGTAAAGACACGAAACGATCGGTCTGCGCAAGAAACTGAACAGTATTTATATAGTTTTTTTGATGTCCGAACTGTTCTGAGCGCCTTTGCGTCGTCTTCTTCAGCTGGCGCGTGACACGTCTTCTTCTTCATGCTTTACGGCAGATCGCAGACTTATAAGTGCATTACCGCCACCTATCTCTCAAATGGACCATTGACAGTCTATCTACAATCTCAATTAGGATGCGCTCAGGATAGTTCGGACATTGCAGTAAATCAGAGGTAAAAAACGATATATAAATACTGTTTAGTTTCTTGCGCAGACCGATCGTTTCGTATCTTTACACATCAATGTATCGTCACGAGCCGCAGGGTTTAATTTGGTTTTGTTTGTGTGTGTGTTTTTTTTGACTCTCAAAGCCGTGATTCCCATTCACCTCCATTATAAGACTGACAGACTGCAATGGTTTGAGTTAAAAATCTCAGTTTGTGTTCTACTGAAGAAACAAAGTCACCTACATCTTGGATGCCCTGGGGGTAAGCAGATAAACATCACATTTTCATTTTTGGGTGAACTATCCCTTTAATGTGATCTGTGAACCAGTAAAACTGACTTATTGTCCCATAAGATTGATTTGCACTTTAGATTGGATCGTGATTTTTGTTTTTTCAAAAAGTGTTGCTCCTTGTTGTTATGAAGTGGAGTAAAAGCTATTATCCTTTGGAACCAAGTACAAAAACGGATAAAGTGACAAATACTTGGAAACTATTTTAATCAAAGATGTGCACATGCCTAAGGTTGTTGACATCTGTTCTAAAACAGAAGAAGTGACTTTAAGGCCTGTTCACACCAACATAGACTTTTGGCACAAAAATAGTTTGATTTTTGCATGTGATTTCTCTTTTCAGACAAATGCGAAACAAAAACAAAAAAGGCAGACGATGAAAACGCAACTCAATTCTAAACAAATATAGATTACTAGTCAGTGATCCAGTAGAGAACAAATCGTTCTCATTCTTTCCCTTGGGTTCACGGTTGGATGGACTTTATAGTCCTGGATCATCTGCTCTCCTGTGCCGAGTGAGATCGAGAGCGCTCGAGTGATAAATCCAGGCTCTGTAAATCTCTACAGCTTTTATTTACTGTACAGATCCTCAATAATGCTATCCAAAACCTCTTGTGAGACCCAGTGTGTGTGTGTTTATGTCGGAGAGTTTATGTGATTTTTACCAGACAAATGTCACTCCGTCTGAACAGATGACAGCATGCTGGAGTTTCCCATCGGATTTGGGCTGATGATGCATCTGAAACAAAACAGAAGAGGTCCAGTCAGAATTGTGGCACTGAATCAACAAGTAAAATGCCTATAAAAGTCAAATGTCAAAGACATTTTGTTCGCACTGCACATAAATATAGTTCATTTTTATAATTGATCTTTAGGACTGACTCTCATGTGGCAAGTCATAAACTCTCATCAGTTTATCTGGTGCATCTACACTACCGTTCAATAGTTTGGGGTTGGTATTGTTTGTGAAAGAAGTCTATTCTATTCATTGAGGCTTTTAAAAAACAAGTTTGGGGTACACGCTAAAATAATGCTGGGTTAAATTCAACCCAGTGCTGGGTTAAATAGGGACAAACCCAGCAATTGGGCTGTTTTGACCCAGCGTTGGGTTAAATGTTTAAATGTTTAACCCAACCTTCTGGGTAGTAACCCAACCGCTGGGTCAAAACAACCCAATTGCTGAATTTAACCCAGCATTTTTTTAGCGTGTACCCCAAACTTTTGAGTTTTCTTTTAGAATGTATGATTGATTGATTGATTGATTGATTGATTGATTGATTGATTGATTGATTGATTGATTGATTTAGAAATAAATGCTTTTCTTCAGCAAGGACAAATTAAATACACTCTAAAAAACGCTGGGTTGTTTTTTTCAACCCAAATGCTGGGTTGAGACCGCTGGGCAAGGACGTTGGGTTGAAAATTGGTCTTGATCTATAACCCAGCGGTGCTGGGTTGGGAACGCAGACGTGAAAGAGAGCACGCACGTCACATTAACATCGGACGACACCAGCGCGAGAAGCCGTCATTTTCTCAGCGTCTTCAGATGGAAGCGAGTGCGAGTGAAAGACGGTTTATGGGAAGTACAGATTAAAAATGTAAAGTCATCATTCATTGTTTGAGTCCGGTAGTATCTTGAGATTTCATGGAAGGTGGAAATATTCCGAAAAGAGCTTGTATTGAAAAATACGCGGACTTTGCCTCAGAAATAGTCTTAACGGCCTCTTTTACTGAACAGAAGAGGTGCTTTTAATATAACGTCAGTGAGTGTCTTATGTCAAGATTTCACAATATTTACATTTTTTTGAGGTGTTAAGAGAGGGTTATTAACATATTTACATGTTAATTTAAACTATGTTAATATTTGTCGAATTTAAAATAAAAGTCCACATTCGAATGCAAAAAAGTTGCATTCGAATTTTAGGTGTGCGTTAAGAAGGCAGCCTTATCAGCGGCGCACGAGATGCGATGACAATGTAGGTGTCGTTGCATTATAATGTTTTTGTTAGCCTATCCAGTTGAAGCCACTAGATGCGGCGCTGCTGCGTTGTTCATTACAAATATTGCGGGAAAAGAGAACAATCAATGCAGAGAAGATCTTGTTTACATTAAAACTGAAACCAAGCCGTTCACACAGAACGCATATTTATCGCATTTTCTAGAGGGACATCTATCACAGTTGCACTCGCGTCTCGCACAAAAGAGCCGCATGTTTAGAAAGCCATGTAAAATTAATGCAAGTTTATGCACGTTTTTTCCCCATCCCACTGTATTTCATGTTTTTAAATGAAAAATGTACTCTTGTGTGATTGGAGTTCGGCCCTTTGTATTAAACTATGCATACATACATGATGCTGTTTTGTTTATAGTTGTTTAAGCAACTTAATTATAATTGGTTTATAAACATTATTTTAAACATTATGCACTTTTTTCACAGATAGTCGTGTTATCTGATGCTTTGAATAAACATTTACATGTTAATTCATTATCTTCTTTTTCGCGGTTAAATCGAATGTAGTTTCCTAAAGGAAACGGCGTTATCTAATAAAGACTAGCCTAATTATTTTGGGGCTGATGAAGTGATAATTGTTGAAAGTAATGTTTTGCATGTTATATTTCAGACTTGTTGAGCTTTGTGTCTTCATTGTGCCCACGCCGGGAGTTAACGACACAGAAGCCTGCTTGTGTGAGGAGCAGGCGATGTTCTCAGCTTCTTCAGAAGAGAGGGAAAGACGGTTTAAGGCAAGTAAACTTCAGAGTTTCATCATGTTATCAATATATTGTTTTTTACTAAGAGTAAAAGAATGTTTGTTTTTGTAGATGTTGAAAGCCAGAGACATAGCAGAGCGTCATTCTTTCGAGATTGATGCGAGTTATTTTTAGAAAATAAATGTTTCTGTTGTCTCCCGCTTGTTTATTTCACATTTTGATGCATAGACCTGCCAACCTGTATGCATTTTGTGTAGCGGATACGCATTTTGACCTCAAAATACGCTGGTACGATTTGTCACTCTAAACTACGCAAAAAACCTGCATAGTTAATATTTTTATACAATATATAAAATTTACCAAAGTCAAATTTGATCTTAAAAGTTATTCAACAAATGTTCAATGCTGCATTTATAAACTCTGTAGTTGTTAATGCCATACTTTTCTGCATTTCTTCTTACATGCATTTTACTTTTGACGGTTTTCTCGTTTAACATAAATATTTACCTTTTCATAGTCATTCTGTGTGTGTAAGAGTGATTTTAAAATGAACAAGATTTGTAGGTTTAACGTCTAACTCGATTTGGGTTCATTTTAGCCTAGCAGTGTAGTAATTTTAAACCATAAAAAAGCAACCCAGCATGCTGGGTCAAACATAATAACCCAACTTGTTGGGTTAAAACAACCCAGCGCTGAGTTAATCCTTTTTTGACCCAGCGCTGGGTTGCCAAAATAACCCAAATTGGGTTGTTTTTAACCCAGCAGTTTTTAGAGTGAGAGTAAAGACATTTATAAGGTTAAAAAAGATTTATATTTCAAATAAATGTTGTTCTTTTGAACTTTGTATTTATTAAATAATCCTGAAAAAAAGGTTTCCACTAAAATATTCATCAGCTCAACGGTTTTCAACATTGATAATAATCAGAAATGTTTCTCGAGCAACAGATCAGCATATTATACTGATTTCTGAAGATCATGTGACACTGAAGACTGGAGGAATGATGCTGAAAATACAGCTGCGCATCACAGAAATACATTACATTTTAACAGAGATTCACATAGAAAACAGCTATTTTAGATTCAAATAATTTTTCACAATATTACTATTTTTATTGTTTTATTTTTGATCAAATAAATTCAACCATGGTGAGCATAAAGGGTCTTCTTTCAGAAACATTTTTTAAAAATCTTACCGACCCCAAACTTTAGAACAGCTGTATATTATAATAATATGTCAGATTATGGATCAGAAAGTTGGCTTGTTTTGGAATGATTTTCATTGGCGGAGACAAATATACAAATAAACTGGCCAAGTTTGGCCTGAAATGCGAGTTGCTCAATATTAACAGTTCTTTTTATTAAACTGTGAAGCAGCATCACACTCGCAAACGTGCCGATAATCAGAACGTCTTGTGATGCATCTGATGTATAAACAGGGTAATATCTTTTGATATAACACAAAGTCATACTCACTTACACAGTAATCATACTCGCATATAAATACTTCATCACTAAACACTCAGAATAACCCATTATTGGCAGCAGAATCCTCTCTGAACACACTCACTTCAGCCCAATCACCTTCACGCCCCACTGGCAGATGGTGTTTAATGCCTCATTGATAAATTACAGTAATTTTAATAACTATCTTCTGTAAGAATGGACATTATTCCTGGAAACAAATGACTCATCTCATGACTCATAGGGGAAACAGCAAAAGTAGTTATAAGAGGGAAAATCATTGTTTTTTTAAGAAAACAAGACAATGAAATTGATTTGGAAGCCTGGCTGTGTCTCCTGACTTCTGACAGTCAAAGCAAATGGGAGTTAAATAACAAATTCTGATGAATTCTTAACAAAGAACAGAATTCTCTTTTTCAAGGCAAAAACAATGTGAAGTAAAACTGGCACACATTAGTGAACTGCTCGCCCAGCTGCAGATCAACGACAGAAGATGACCGTCTCAGTAACATTAAATCCAGAAGAACTTAGGAAAGGACTTGACTTTTCAATGTCAAGAACCCCAAATATGATCCTTTTGCAAATGTACAGTAATATAACTACTATGTTCAGATGAATGAATGTGTGTTCTTACAACCTCTTACTAGTTAATATTTAGTCTGTCTCTATTTTAATTGGTAACACTTTACGATAAGGTTCCATTGTTAACATTAGTTCATCTAATTCATTTTTAATATTAGGTTATTTAATGCATAACGCATATCATTGTTCTTTTGTTGATTTTGATTGCTTCAATTGTCCTCATTTGTAAGTCGCTTGGGATAATAGCGTCTGGTAAATGACTAAATGTAATGCATTAATTAACGTTAACTAATGAACCTTATTGTAAAGTAGGGCTGTCAAAAAAAAAATTTGAATTTCTAATATTTATCGAATTTAAAATAAAAGTCCACATTCGAATACAAAAAAGTTGCATTCGAATTTTAGGTGTGCGTTAAGAAGGCAGCCTTATCAGCGGCGCACGAGATGCGATGACGATGTAGGTGTCGTTGCATTATAATGTTTTTGTTAGCCTATCCAGTTGAAGCCACTAGATGCGGCGCTGCTGCGTTGTTCATTACAAATATTGCGGGAAGAGAGAACAATCAATGCAGAGATCTTGTTTACATTAAAACTGAAACCAAGCCGTTCACACAGAACACATATTTATCGTATTTTCTAGAGGGACATCTATCACAAATCAGCTTATTTAATAATCAAAATAATCATTGGTTGCTGCCCAAATTCAATTATTTTGAGTTTTTTTTTGGGGGGGGGATCAGATTTGCAGCAAAACCATTTAGAATGCCATAAACGGGTTCAAACCTCTTCCTCCATCAAACATTCCCAGCCTGAAAAGTCCAAAAAGCAGTATGAAATGGAGAATATCTAGTTCATTAAATGCTTAAAAATGATTGTCTCAAACATAAATAACACGTTAACTTTGAAGGTCAGTAAACTTCATTTTTCCACCGCCTCCTTGCAGCCTCGCAGCAAACAGATCCAGATGGACACCCGGTG